ATTTAATGGAGACAAAAAGTTGGCGCGTGCGTGGGCTTGGTTTGGGTGGGCGCGATGGAGGAGCTATGGAGAAGGATTGGGTTGGTGTTAGGCTTGAGGTGAGCTTTTGGTAGGAAGGGGTTATGGGGGTGGCGGTTGGTGGTGGGGATGGTGAAGGAGGGGAACAGTGAAGAGGATGAGATAACGACGAGAGAAATAAGAGGAACAAACAAAAAACAGAGACAAAAAAAAAATTAAAAGATACACCGCGGCCCGGACACATCCTGCGGCTGACGGGTAATACGTTGCCCTTCTCCAAGGGACTTCACGCCACGAGCCCCCCATCCTGCGGTGGTGGAAACTCCGACTCCCTCCCATAGGGATTTCACTAACATTCTCCCAAAGAACCTAAGTGCAAACGCAATTTTTTTTTTATTAATAATCCATCATTCAATACAAGAGAAGAGACCTCTATATATAGGCCCTCAGAGAAATTAAAAGACACATTCCCTCCCTTGGGCTACATAAGACAAGAGGGTAAAAAAGGGAAATTGCAAAACTAAAATTAAAATACACTTAATAAACGAAAATAAAACAAGCTGATCTCGTGTGCGATCTTCAGCTCCTCCGGATTAGCATGGACGGTTGGATGTCCGCATCATTCTCCCGGGGTGGAAAAGACTCGACTCCGTCGAGTTCGCATCCCGGGTGAGCAACCATGCTCTGATACCAAACTGATGTAGAAGGGAAGGAGGTTTTCAGTCTTATGAGTCTTGAAGAGCAACTTGTGAAGTTTAAACATCAGCTTTTGACACTTGGGAAATTCCTGGACAGCAAGTAGCCAACCTGGGATAGAATTCCGGACAGTTTCGGGCAGCCACGGTTGCTCCCAGAAGGGCTGGACAGCAACAACGGAAGTCCTGGAAGCGAGCTGTGCAGGTTTGTCTGTAGCAAAACTTGGACAAACGGGACTTGGGAAGCTGACAGCAAGGAGGTTCTGCAGCAGTGCGGTTGTAAAATTTTGGCCAGCAAACTTAGGGTCAGGAAACACCAAACCGGAGAAGAATAGGAGGAATTGGGAGAAGATAATCCAGCAAAGCTGCTGGGGTAGGAGGCTGGTCAGGTAAGCGCTAGGATTTGGGAATTATTTCCACTTTGCGGGGCTGATTTGTGGCCAAATTAATGAGGTTTGAATGTTTCCTAGTAGAGATTTTGGATTTAGGAAACAATTTTCTAATACCACCTAAGAGGAG